TTTAGTAACTACCCAAAATTTCTATTTTTGGAATAGATAAAGAATAGAAATACGTTTGGTAAGTGCACAAAATTTCTTTTTATTAATAATATTTTGAATTTTAGGTTAATGCCACCAAAAATCCCAAACTGTACGCGTGTGACAATTTTACCCCGAACTTTTTTTTATCACAAAAAACCCCCAAACTGGTACATCTGTGACAATTTTACCCCTTCGGCCACTTTTGGCCGGCCGGTGATGACGTGGACACCAACTGGCTGACGTGGCAATATTTTAATATTTTTTTCGAATTTTTTTTAATATTTTTGGCCGCTGCTCGGCCGACCTCGCCCACGACGGCGAGGCTTGTCCTCGCCCCTCAGCCTTTGGCTGGCGACCGGCGAAGAAGATAGCAAAAAAAAAAAAAAGAAAGAGAGAAAAAAAGTCAAAAATATTTAAATATTGTCACGTCAGCCGGTTGGCGTCAACGTCATCGCCGGCCGGCCAAAAGTGGCCGGAGGGGTAAAATTGTCACAGGTGGACTAGTTTGAGATTTTTTGTGGTCAGAAAAAAAGTTCGGGGTAAAATTATCACATACGTACCAGTTTGGGGTTTTTGGAGATATTAACCCTCAAATTTTTTAATATTTCTTTCTATTTTTTTCTTTTTTTTCCTTCTTCTTCCTCTTTCTTGGCCATGGCTAGATCGCCGGCGCCATCGACCGGCCAAAGGCCAAGGCCGGAGAGGGCTGGACCTTTGCCGCCGCTCTTGCTAGATCCAATGAGGGCGGCTCGTGACTTGGGCGAGTGGCGCCCTTACTGGATCTGGCAAGGGCTGGACCTTCGCCGCCGCCCTCATCAGATCCGGTGAGGGCAGCTAGCAGCTTGGGCGAGGGTCGACCTCTACGGTATGGGCGAGGGTCGCCCTCGCCAGATCCGACGAGGGTAGCCCTCGCCTAGGCCGTGAGCCACCCTCATTGGATCTGACGAGGGCAGCGGCGAGGGTCGCCCACGCCAAATCCAGCGAAGGTAGCCCTTGCCCAAGCAACGAGGGTCCAGCTCTAGCCCTTGTTGGCCCAGGTCTGTGGCCGGTCGCCGGCGACCAGTCACAGGCCAGAAAGAAGAAGAAAACCAAGAAGAAGAAACTTTGTGCAAATTTGTGCCCGAGAACTTATTTCCAGAATCAATAAAAGTAACTTTTTTTTGCTTCTTGATTCTATTCCAAAATTGATTTTTGGGAATAAATTTGCACAAATTTATTCCCGGGAACAAAAAATTTACCAAACGGATTTCTATTCCAAAACTGATTCTAGGAACAAAAGAATAGAATCGGTTACTATTTGGCCAGTTAGGGTGTGTTTGGTAACCATTCTGTGCCCGGGAACTAATCCTGCTCAGAAATGATTCTTTTTTATTCTGTGCCCGGGAACTGATTCTAAGCATTTGAAAGAGTTTGGTAACTGCCTAAAATTTCTATTTTTGGAATAGAAAAATAATAGAAATACGTTTAGTAATTACACAAATTTTTTATTAATAATATTTTGAAAATTTTAATATTTCTTTCTTTCTTTTTTATCATTTTTTTCTTCTTTGTTTTTTCTTCATCTTCCCCTTCCTTGGCCATGGCCGGTCATCGGCAACCGGCTACAAGCCAAGGCCGGCGAGGGCCACCCTCGGCGGCTTGGGTGAGGGTCGCCCTCGCCCAGGCCGCGAGCCGCCCTCGCCGGATCTGGTGAGGGTTCAGCCCTGGCCTGTGGCCGATCGCCGGTGGCCGGTGGTCGGCGACCGACCACAGGCCAGGCAGAAGGACACCAGAATCAAGAAGAACAGTGACGAAGAACAAGAAAGAAGAAGAAGAAAAAACAATAATTTTTTTTCCATTTCTAATTCTTGTTCTCAGAATTAAGAAGCTACTTTTTTTTTACTTCTGTTCCAAAACTGATTCTGGGAACAAATTTTTGTAAATTTGTGCCCGAGAACAAAAAGTTTACCAAATGAATTTTTATTCCAAAACTGATTCTGGAAACAAAAAAACAAAAATTATCACTGTTTGACAAGTTGCCAAACGGGCCCTTACCAAATGCAGCCTTAGAATATAAAAGTAAGACCGATTTTTTTTCTTCTTTCTTCTCCACCCACTTTTTCTTGGCCGTCCTCCATGGCCACCGTCAAAACTTCTCACAGGCAACTTCAACAAACGGTACTTGGAGCTCGAATAACTATCTCAATGTTACTAATAACAGAAAAAGAACACCCAAATTTCACCAAACCGAAAGCTACAGAGACAATATGGCAGTTTTCAAAGCAATAAAGAGCAACCCTCGTAAATACTAAAAGGATACTCATACAATGCCCAGCAAAGAACTGAAAAAATTCGCTGCTAAAGGTTCTACTGAAGCAATTAGCAACTGAAATCAACTAAAGAGACAAAAAAAAAAAAAACAAAAGGTTTTACTGAGAAGTCCTCACACTACTGCAATTTTTTTTTTATTCCTTTGTGTGTCGTATGTGCTTCTCATGGTGGAGGGCTCATGATGGAGGTTGCTGCGGTGCGATGGCTGTGATTGATATGAGTGGCCTGAACAATTGCTATGTTGGAGCAGAAAAGGAGAATTTTTTTTTTTCAATTTGTTTCATTTGATTCCGCTTCAGGAATATATGTGTCAAGTGGTAATTATATAAGAGCAAAAAATGCATGCCATGTAGAGTAATGACGTAGTGGGAAGAAACCACTAAATATTTTCTCAGTAGGCGGTGGTTACTACGTTGTGGTGTTGGCTTCAAGCCTTCAACATATAATTAACTTTGCATCTTTCAATCTCCATATGAAGTGTTTGAAACCGTTAGAATTCTTGACTAATTCTCACTACACTGTAATCTGCTCGTCCTGACGCAAAACGGTAATTTTCCAAGTGCTCCAAACCAATGACTTTACATTTTTAAATACATGTGCTATACAACAAGTGATTGTTACACGTCACTCATATCTACGATCACATTGTTTTAGCAAGTTATATTTGGACAGTTTAGAAACACGAGCGGAAAAATCTCTAATGCCAAACATCAATCTAGCAATTGGGTGCATTCACATTAAGATGTTTGTTTAGTTCACTGATTCATCTCAGGATCAACCGAGCTAATCGAGAGATGTATGGCCAAAAGATGTACTCTTATTGAACGGTTAAACTACGTTTAACATCATATAATTACGTAACTATATGTCCAATGGGAGGACAATGTTTCGTGCCTAGCCAAAAGGGTTCCTCTTCCTCGTTACCATGATCACTGTGTTGAACCATCACCCTTTGTTTTGGATAGGCTCGTGGTAGAGATCATGTTGGGCAATCATGTACTTTCCAGACACGCTAGATTTTTCCTATCGGACATTCAATTCACGTTGAAACTTCTGTGTTTTTTTCCCCCCTCCACTTTCCACGCCTTTTTCCTGCGCAATAAGAATTGCAAAAATTGGAGGAAATTTCAAAGGAGAAAAGGTCAAAAAAAGTTAAATTGAGCTACGTATCTCTCTTTCAAATCATGCTCCCTCATTAAGCTCCGTACGATTTACAGCTCGATCGAGTACTTAAGAGCGCGTTTGGTAACGTTTCTGTTTCTGGGAACAATTTCTTTTCAGAAATAGTTTTTTTTATTTCTATTTCCAGGATAAGTTTTTGAGCAAAAGAATGCGTTTGGTAACCGCACAAAATTTCTATTCTTGAAATAGAAAAAGAACATAAATGAGTTTGGTACAACAAAAAAATTTATATTCCCAATTTTTTGCATTCAAATATATATCTTTTATTTAACTATAAGTACAAGTTATAAGTGAAAAAAACCAATAAACATGGTTTATTGGTTTGTCTAATCCTTTTTAGGGGTTTAAAACCCCTTTTAATCCCTAAACTAAGGAATCTTAAAAAATACCACTTGGGTACCTAAAAAAATTTAAATTTCACTCAAAGTGAGTGGCCACAAGTATTCTAAGCCATTTTGTGAATTTTTTTTTATTTTTTTGGGGTAAAATTTATTAAAATTTTTTACTTTCCCTAAATCTGTTTCGTTTTATTTTCCAGAAACTTTTTTATGAAATTTTTTAAAATTTTTTCAATTTCGGAATTTTACAAATTTTTATGGGTTTTCTGAGTTTTTCTTATTTTATGGATTTTATGAGAATTTTTCTGATTTTTATGAATTTTTGGATTTTTTAAATTTTCTAATTTTTTTAGGGATTTTTCTGAAATTTTTCTAATTTTTATGAATTTTCGGAATTTTTTAATTTATTCTAAGCCATTTTGTGAATTTTTTATTTTTGATTTTTTTTGGGGAAAACTTTATTAAAATTTTTTACTTTCCCAAAATCTGTCTCTTTTTATTTTCTAGAAACTTTTTTTTATGGATTTTTTAAATTTTTTCAGTTTCAGAATTTTGCGAATTTTTATGGGTTTTATGAGTTTTCCTGATTTTTATGGATTTTCTGAGAATTTTTCTGATTTTTATGAATTTTTGGAATTTTTTTAATTTTTTTATGAATTTTTTTATTATTCCCACCGGGAATGGACCGGACTGGTGCTTTGAGACGGTCTTCAGACACGGAGGATGGCGGAGGAGCTGAGGCCGCGGCTTGAGGATCGGACCTTTCTATTTCTTTTTTTGTTTCTGAGAACAAAGAAGCAGAAAAAATCTACTTCTTATTTCTGTTCCAAATCTATTTCTTGGCCATTTTTCTATTCCAGGAAATATAAAAATAAAATGCGTTACTAAACAGATTTCTGTTCTTTTTTTGTTCCACAGAACAGAAGAACAGAAAAATAGAGAAGTAGAAACGTTAACAAACGCGCCCTAAGCAGCTCCAATCGGAGAATATCGATCCTCAGCGATAAACATTGTGATAAAGACATAATGACCAAAAATGGTAATTTCCTTCTTCATTTCGCAATTAAAAAGAAAATTGGTGGTGACAAATTATAGGGATCATCATGAGCTTTTGCTCACCGCAGATCAATGATTACAAGGTGGAGGGATGACGGTCATCATCAGCTTTATTTGAAATTATTATTTGGTTTGCCTTTAGCTCTCTTAAAAGCTTTTAAGGACAGCCACATGAAATACATCCTGGACGACCGCTGTTCTGCTCCATCCCTCTCAGAAAAACGAAAGAAAATCTCTCCGTAAAATCGTCGGTTTCGTCTTCATCATCTTCATCTTCTCCGTCGTCGGCGGTGGTTGTTGTCTGATCTTTCGAAGGCTCTTCGCTGCGATGGCGGACACGGAGTGCAGGCCCCTGGAGGTGACGGTGATCTCGGCCAGGGACCTCGAGGACGTCAGAGACCACCTCCCGATGCACCCCTACGTCGTCGTCTCCCTCTGCGGCGACCAGCGCTACAAGAAGAAGCAGCGCACCCCCGTCCACGAGGACGGCGGCACGAGCCCCCGCTGGGACCACGCCCTCGCCGACCCCTTCACCGTCGACGTGGCCGCGGCCAGCGCCGGCCACCTCAACCTCAAGCTCAAGATCAAGACCAGGCGGACCGTCAAAAACAACAAGGACGTCGGCTGGGTCGACGTGCCCGTCGGGGAGCTGCTCGAGGAGGGCGACGACGGGGAGCCCAGGGCGACGAGCTACGCCGTGAGCCTGCCGTCCGGGGGGACCAGGGGCTTCCTGGAGTTCTCCTACAAGTTCGGCGAGGCGTTCACCGTGCGCGGGGCGGCGCCGGACCAACGGTCGGAAAACCAGCGGCAGCCGAGGCCGGACAGGTTCAGGGATTGTTTCCGCGGGGCGATAGTCGGGGGCTCGATATGGGGCGCGATGTCGAACGCCGACGGTGATGGTTAAGGATATGTAAACTTGAGTTTCTTTCTTGTTCTTTGCTGTCTTCCTCCCTCCCGCCTTTTCCCCTTTATTCTGATTATGTCTCGAACTATATGAGACGTCCTCCTTTTTCTTCATGACGTGTAAATGAAATGGATCCGTTTCATAAGGCTAAAGTAGCGATCTTTGACCTTTCGTTTTGGTTCTTTTCTTTCGGTTCTTTGTTTCGTAACTATGGCAATGGATCGGATCATCTAGATGATTGAGCATCGCCGCTCCGGCAACCTTGATCGAGGGTCGTCGATCGGATCATCTCGAATGGGGTTACAGCGATAAATTCGTCAATCTTTGCACTTTCGGATTGCGGGTGGTGGCAGAATAGTCATAACTCGATCCCAACAACCTTGACGAGGGCGCAAACTCGTCATCCAATGGGAATCGCTTGCTTCTCGCCCTTTCTTTTCTCTTCTTTTCCTTTCTTTTTCACCCTTATCGATAGGGGGAAGAAAAACCTCGGCACGTCGCGGTCGCGTCGCGGATGACGCACGTAAGTGCGACGATAGAAAACTCTCGAGTCGAAAAAACTGTCCGTTCTGTTGCCTCTTCCCGTTGTGGTCGTGTCGCGGATGCGCGGGCGAGGGATGCGTGCGAAGTGGCGCTCGCTTGGGGTCCCTCGGCCTCGCCACTCCACCGGTTGCTGTCGTCTGATTATCTCCGCACGGAATCCTTTGGGAATATGCGAAATTGATACAATGAATTAATTAATTGCAAAAAATAAAAAAACAACACCCAAAATCCTGCATCCTCATCCCTTGCAATCCCGCTATAATACCTAGCAAGTTGATGACCATAGTGCCGATCACTACACGAGATATTTGAATCATTCGACTTGACTAATTTCCACGGATACAAACGAGTTGCCCTGTCCATGTGTTTGAACACCGAACTTGCTACATCCAAATCAAGTGTGAAACCGCACTACCATCTCTTTTAGGGTTATGCGATGTAGGACCACTTAGTACGATGCATTTATTATTCTCGTATTATATATAATCGATCGATGCTTTCAGAAGCGCAATTTTTCAAATTAAGTAAAGCTTGATCGGTGCTCCGATGGCACTCGTCTACCCTTTCGGTACTCCATTGTTATGAGAGAAGTATCAATGGAGGCTCTTCCAACCACTTGAAGCTTAGCATTAATCAAGGTCAAACCAAATCCAGTTCTAGCAATTGATGAATTCCTCAGCTTAAACGTATGACGTTCCAGAAAAAGGACGGCATCTATAAGCTCGTACAAAAGAGCATGCAGTACCACCATTACAATTGGGTTTGACACGAGTTCATTGGAGTTAAAATTAGGGATGAGCATGGTCCGGATGGACTATTTCTACTCTAGAACTGGGCATCACTCATTAGGGACTAGTTTCGAAAAATTAGAATTGGGAACCGCTCGTTGGTTCCATGGATCCACTCGGGAACCGGATAGCCGGTTCGGTCCGGTTTCCGTATGGGTCCATGGAACCGGTCCCACTAGCTAAAGAAAGAGACGGAAAGATGGAGACGAATACAGAGATGGAAAGTCGGAGACAGTAAGGTGAGCATCGATTGAGAAGAATGAAAAAGTGACAGTGAGTGTGAGGTGAAAGCGAAAGAAAGTGTTTCTCGGCTCAGTCTGAGGCTGTGAGCGTCAAACGATTTAGGTTTAGTTTAGAGATTTATAATTTTTTTTTCTAAAAAAATAATAAATATATCATATTTATTATTATATTATCATCCTGTTCGAATGGATGGACGGACGGGCGGTTTCACGTTTGGAACCGAACTGGTCTGGTGCAATTTCGAACGATTTCGAGCGATTTCTGATTCTTCTGTACACCTGTAATTAAAACTGAGGAAGATGCCAGTCATCAAAGCTCGCTCCGTTGATGGGACATAAGCTTTCTTTTGGCAAGGGGCGATGCTCGACGTGAGCTGCGGGGAATCTGGACAATGTGATGATGCATGGTGGAAGCTGCTTGGTACACAATCAATGCTCGACCCCCGTCAATGTGCATTCATTGCGGTCAAGGATCATGCTCCATTTTGGGCAGGGATGTGCGTACGCTTCTTTTGTTCATTCAGTACGCTTTCCTCTGCTCCCACTAGCACCGTAACGGTGACGAATCTGCTCAAAACAAACAGTATTTACGGGTCAAATCGAACATATAGTCACGGTAAAATTTCTACGATGATGTCTGGAGAGGGTTGCCGACGTAGGTGGTCCATTCCCGCCCTTTTCACCAATCAAACTTGGATGATGTAAACAATTATCACATAATATGTACATTTCTCAAATTTTTGCAATGTCTTGAGAGGCATTTCATACTAGTTATAGGTAACGTTTCATACCACTACTGTTAATCTTAATAGTATCATAAGGGCAATATGATGAGAAATATACACACACCCATATACATATGTATTGGCAAATCCGTTTGGGTGTTTCCACAATAATCTCGTACCCATCACGAAATGTTTAAACTGAAAGCACTAGAGATTCAGAAACCCACTCAACAGCGCAAGAATCACACAACAAACTCGTCTCGGTGTTACCACAATAATCTCACCCTCGTTACGGGATATCATAATTAATCATGACAACTCAATTTAATCGTAGATGTTGTGGGAGCCCAACTCAACAAAACTATCAGATCGCTAGAGGTTCAAAAACCATCATGAAAAATTTCTAGATCCGTTCCTGCCACCTCAATTAGTCTGCGTTGCTCGTACTAATATATTTTCACGAAGCATATGCATGTCCTTGGCGTATCTTCAACTCGCGAATAAGGCACTAGTCAAAAAATGTGCAACGATAGGGATATTAAGTACTTTTACTAAGACATATGTACCAAGGGAATGAATACAACTAGGTCGGGTGTTCTCCATAAGTGGACCAATGCATGAAGCGATTGACATATATCTAATCTTGCCTAATAGCATAGTGACAAATTTGAGTTAACTACATCTTTTTAGCACTCCTCTTGAGAAAGTACAGCCGAGAAATTTGAAAATAGACATAACAATTGATTCAAATTCTTCTCCACGAGAAAAGGAAAAAGGACGAAGATGACAGTTGGCCTTTGTAGACTTTTCAAAATTGGAGGGTGACCCATGTGGGAGCTTGTACCCGATTCAATCGCGGATAGCTCAATGTTGTCCCCAGAAATTAATCAAAATTATGGCTCAATTTATTTTACGAAAAATAAGGTGCATGGTCTTTTGGTTCCAAAACTAACAGTCAACACAGCTGCTCAGTCAGCCTCTTTTGTACTTTACCTAACAATGGTAGCTGACAAGGATGCTAATTGTACAGAGATTCGTGTCAAACGTCAGCGAGAGATTCTAGCGATTCTTCAACATGGCGTGTCTCTGATAGAAATGATCTTGTCAGAGATTTATTGTCATTTGTTATCCTTCTAAATTGATTTGTTATCATTCAGAGATATTATTATCTTTCTTTATAATAATATTTTATTACTTTAAATAGTCATTTAAAATAACTTATAAATAAGCTCATATATCATCAGTAATTTATACAGAGAAATATATAGAAATTCTCCAATTCTCTTTTTCGCTTATTCTTAACTTGATATCAGAGCTGGAGGTCTTGAGTTCAAATCTTTGCAGACTTTATTTGCCTTTCCAATTAAATATATCCATGTTTAGTACTAGGCAAAAAGACCAGATTAAGTGTGAGGGGGAGTGTTAAAATAAATATTAAACCATGCCTTCATCTAATAGCTTAAGCTTTTAGAACAGTTGGCTGTTGTACCACAAAATCTCACATGATATCAGAGCCAAGTTGCTGTCTGAAGAAGCGGTTGATTGAGTTATACGGTGTTATAGCAACGTTGCCACAGCCGCACCGATTCACTGTGCTCAGATAAGTCGGACCCTAACAATTAGTCACTAACAGACTCCAGTAGCCGCTGCGCCACAGACCCACTCACGCAGTCGTCTGTAAGTGCTCTATTTGAAGTCATTAGTTGGCTATTTTCGACAACCACCACCACAAATAGGTTCCTCATCCTCCGGCGAGTCCAACCAAGGAAGCCACGTCGCCTGAAATTTCCTCCCGCACCACTCGAAGAGTCTGCGCGTGAGATCCGCGTGCCAGTGTGCCGTGCATGTGATCATCGCCCGTCTATGTCTGCCACGTCATCATCTGACGTCATCAACACGTGATGCCACGTGTATGTCACATGTCATTGCCGTTTGACTGTTGACCGACGTTGACCAGCCGTCGATCGGCGTTGACCAGACTAGTTTATCTATTTTCTGACCGGTTCAATCTCTTTTGGATCGGTTCTTGGCATTTTCAGACCAGTTCTTGAAGTATTTTGACGTTCTAAATCCATTTTTGGCCTTATTTTTTTTTTCAATATTAGCCTTGGAAGTATGGGTTTTCTCGAAATTGATTATATTGGTTTTATTACTTATCATGGAAAAATTAGAAGTCTCAGTATCCATTCAGACCATCTTGAATGGATCAAACTATATCTTATGGGCTCAAGAAATGTCAAGTTTTCCAAAAGGACATAAGCTTTGGCGTTACATAACTGCAGATATTCGCGAGCCTGTTCAGATTATTGGTGAGGCTAATGATAAATTTGCTGAACGTTTGGAGGAGTGGGATATACAAAAAAATTCTCCAATTCTCTTTTCTGCTTATTCTAACTGATCTCATCGAAGACTACTGCTCGAGCTCTGACAAAGGAGAGCGATGTTTTTTCTACTGCTCCCGTTGAGCTACTTTTTCTTCTGTTTTTTTTCAAAAATGTCCAATTCATTGTCGGTCCATTGTTTTTCGTACTCTTCCTCCTCTTCCGTTTCTCAATCGACTGATTCCCTCTCTCTAAATTTTGTAGGCCTGATCATGACGAGTTGGAGAATCGAAATGTGATTACCAAACTTCATTTATCAGGTAGCTGTTAGGAAGCTACACGCTGGAGCTGTACCAAACCTGTAACTACTTGACAAAAGGA